TTGGAAGGGAGCCCGTGTTTGAGGGCTCCTGAAGGGAAAGCAGCTTCTCCGTGACAGCACTTTGGCAAAAAACAGCGTTCGTTAAACGCAACGGTTTCTTCAGTCAAAGTAAATAATTATTAAGGAAACCCAATTAAAATTAGGAGCTCTCCCAATTGTTTTCAGAGGCATCAAAATCTCCTCCCAGGACCCCGATCCCAGCTCATCCACCTCTGTGGGGCTGGACAGGAGCTGCCCCCAGGGCCGGGTCCCTCCTCAGTGTGTCCTATAGGGAACCTCCTAAACATGCCCTATAGGGGAGTCCCTCCCCATCCCAGCATCGTGTGCAGGAGCAGTGCTGATGCCAATGGGACATCTCTGTACCTGCGTGGCGGCTGTTCTAGCCGTGTGTCCCCGTTTCCATCCCAGCCTTAAAGCAAGGCGGAGCGCTTTCATTGGCAGCACTGAGAATTCCATTTTCTCAGACATTCTTTTGTCTCAGAGCTTCTCTCTTTCTGTCAGCATCATAAGAAAACAACGTAAAATTGTGCTCATTAGGAGGGATGTCCTCAAATAGCCCGGGCATTTCCGAGACACGCTCAGGTGCGGTGCAGAGCTCAGGGTGGTGCACTGGGAGGAGAGCCTTCATTTGCACTGAGCCACTGCTTTGGTTCTCAGCCAGCAGAGCTCTGATGAAAGCCTCTGCTCTGCACACTGCAGCCTTCAGGTGTGTGTTTGGACGTCTCCATTTATTTTCCTGCAAAAATGTATCACGATGCATCCACTCTGGCAGCAATGCTGAAAGCAAAGCAATGTCCGTCCTACCAGCCCTGAGGACAGGCACTCGTACACCATCTTGCAGGGCCTCACCTTCACCAATCAACAATCAGCAAGCATGACAAACAATTGTTCGCAGCTGTCATTAGCCGAAAACGAGGAATATCTGCATATGCTTAATCTTAATGAGGTGGTCTTGGCAGGGAGCCCCACTCACTGCTACCAAACAGCCGCTGCGTGTGCAAAAAGGCAGCCAATGCCCACGTGCACAGACACACACACATGGAAGGAACCTGTAAAAGCAGAATCCAAAGGGCTCAGGGGGAGCAGTGCTGGGCGGCCCCCGGCTCTGCGGCCCCACACTGCGCAGTGCTGGAGCTGAGGCAAATCAAAGCTGAGGGATTCTGAATGCATCACCGCCAATTATTCAGCTCTCAAATGAGAGGGCACTGGTGGACTTCAGAGGCATTTCTGAGCGAGGATGAGGAGAGCCAGGAGGGGTGGGAGAGGGCTCATGCCAGCGCTGTGCTGGATTGTGGCTTGGAATTCACAGCTGCAGGGAGCTCTCATACACAACTTCCATTTGAGAGCAAGGATGTGGGCTGCTCACCTGTCTGAAGTCTTTCTGCCACTCCTGCAGTGTCTTTCCTGGCAGCGGGAATGGGACAGGATGGGGTCAGGGTACTGGGACCTGCAATTGGAATGGCACCAAAATGGGCACAACTCTGCGGGGCCAGACCAGGGCAGAGCAGCATCCCAAGGCAGCTCCATCCTCTCTGCCAGGTTTTATATCCTGATCCCATGAAATGTTCCCTGCAACCCCAGCCACCCCAAGGCACCACGGTGCCCTACATGAACCATCTGTGACATGGGGGACACCTGAAGATATTCCTACCTGGCCACTCATGTTTGTTGAATGACTTTCGCACTCATCAGCCCACCACAGATGTGATGGAGTTCCAATTCTTATGTGCAGCCCCCAAGCTTGGCTTGCTGCCCCACAGCTCACTGCTGCTCCTGGGCCCTCCCAGCCATGCTCACACCACCATGTGTCACACTGCCCTGTGCCCCCAGGGCAGGCTCTGGGTCCTGCCTTGCCCCCCCAACTCCTGCCTCAGCAACCCCACTTAATGAGAAACCTTCACCTGCAACGTGCTCCATCAGCAGCTCACCCCATATCCCCCTGCCCAGTGGGATTCCTGAGAGCTCCAGGCCTTGATTAGCTCTTCCTTTTAATTAGTCTCAATCAGAGGCGTCGCCTCCTTCAACCTTGGGCTGCCTTTGCTTTCTCTCCTGTCCCATTAACAGACCCCAGCATTCCCCATCTGCCTGCCCCAGCCCTTGGCACTCCTCTTCCTGTGGGGGGCTGATGTGAGGACCCCTCTCTGCCCCTCCTCACCCACACACCAGCTCAAGGGAACCCCATCACCCCAGGCAGCTGTGCCATGCCCTCAGCCCGTGCCATGGCCTCAGCGGTGTGCTGAGGCTGCCCTGGGCTGCCCTGGCCCCATGCCTTGTTGTGCTGCATTGATGCGGGCAGCAGACAGCTAAGCTCTCAGTACAATCATTCTATATTAAATTTGGAATGCAATTTCAGGGCACCAACGCTAAAAGCAAACCTCAGTCGATCCTGTTTCAATATAAAACCCAGCCTAATTCAAATGACTCACACAGCTTGCTAGGCAGGAATACAAGCAGTGATACGGCAACCATCTAAATGCTGGGCATTGTGGCATTTAGGTTCAGTCAAGAGCTTAGAAAAGTTCAGCAACAAACACTACAGCCTTGGAAGACACCGGGGTTGTGTACAGAAATGATGATTTTCCTCCTCCCACAGCCAGCAGCTCTTGGCCTGCAGCAATGGGCAGGGCTCACTGCACCCCTGTGCCCTGTGGGGTGAGGGTCGCTACAGACAGGATGATGTGAAGCCTTATCGTACACCACTTTGATGTTTCCCATCAGAGCACACAGCCAATGCAAACAACTGACAAAACCTCCACTCTCTACAGAATCCCACTGAAAAATCATTTTGAATCAGGAAAACACAACTGGCAGAGAACTCAGCTAACAGCCCCCACCCCAGCGCCACGTTATGCCACCTGCAAGGCTCTCAGCTCGCCTCGCCCTCAGCACAGCAGCTCTGCAGGCAGGACCCAGCCCAGCCATCCTCCCTGACATCATGGAAGTCAGCCCCCATCCCCTCCCTGTGCCACAACTCTCCTGCCAGGAGCCACAACTCCTCTCATCTCTGCATGTCCCTCACATCTCCCTGTTCCCAGGTTCTGTCGTGAACCCGGGCTGTTGCTCAGACTGGGGCAGTTTTCTGCTGCCCAACTACACTTGGATTTGCAAACTGCCTTCTTTGCTGGAGTTTTGTTACCACTCAGTTCCAACTGCAGTCTGGTAAATTCAGCCTAAACTGAAGACAGAAAATGAGTTCTGAGTCCAAAGGTTCTCTGAGGACACTGGCACAAGGACCTGCAGCAGTTTGATGGAGCAGATCACGCTCACCTCCAGTAGGTGACAAAGAAGGAATATAGTAACTCTAGCCAGTGAGTAACACCAGATTCTCATGCCTGAAAACAACAAAAGCTTGTTTTTCTCTGTAAATACGCCTTCCTGCTCTGTGACCAGAACCACACTCCACCACAGGTCACACACATTCCAAACTATTTACCCTCAGACCCAGAGAACCCCTTGGCTGCCCCCCTTCACAGCGCTGCAGAAATGCAGTCTGAAAAGTTCTGCAGTAACAAATTCCCATTCAGGACTGAGCAAAGTGCATCTCGAGCGCCTTCAGCTCAGAACAAAGCTTGGGAAAAAAAGTGATCACAGGAAATTCCATGCACAGTCAATTAAATTCACAGCAGACTGGAAAATCATCAGTTACGCTGCTAGAGAGCTCTGCAAAGAGGAGAGTTTAACAGAGCATTAAGACAGACATTGGCTGCAGCTTTCTCAGCAGGTTACACACAAATACAGCATTTTGCCTGCTTTCATGGAGCTATTCCAGAAAGAAACTTGCATGTTTTGCATGTAAGTTCACTAATTATTCTGAACCTTAATAAGAAAGCGTGTTAACACCTCCCACCTCATCACATAGGCCTATTTTTGTATTTTGTTAGGCCAAAGCATCTCCCAGCCACTGAGCAGCGCTCAGTGCATCTTCTGCTCTCAGTGGGCTCCATCCTGAGCCCACAGAACGCAAAGGGACAGAGAATGCCTTCACATCCCACACAGTTGGGTTTACTTTTGGGAAATAAGTTTGCTGAAGCACAAACAGTAAACGCTAGATGAGCACATTTAATAACATTTAATAACACAGACTTTATTTTTCTTCTGGAATGTAAACATTTGGGAGGCTTCCTCTGAATGCCTGCTTCACTTTGCGCAGAAAACACTTGAAATCCACCAAGAACGCCTTGGCATGCACAGGTGCAAAGCACTAGTTCTGGTCTGCTACTGTTCTAACCATCAGAACGATGCTCCATATCTAAGCTGAGTCACTCGACTGAAAAGCAAAAGGAAGAATGATTTTACTGTCTTTGTACTCCTAGATATGCTAGCAATAGTTCCTACGTAAGTTATTTTCTGTACCACCTGCACAAAGCAGGAAGCCCTGAAATGCTGCTTCAGTTGTAGCGCCCAGAACTCTTTAGGGGCAAAGCCCACGAGCAGCAGGGGCTTTCACCACCAAACTCAGTTGCCTCTGGGACACTGTGCCAGTCTAAAGCAGAACTCTGCCCCCCTCGTGGCTTTTCTTGTTCTGCCAAACTCATTCACTGAACCCCACACTGAGTCACTGTATGAAAATGTGAATCATCAAACAAAGCTGCATGGAGACCAAACACACTGGCGACCAGCATCCTCGTGAGACAACACACAGACTGCAGCACAGCTGAAAATATAGGTGCATATTTTTGCTGCCAAATAGCAGAGTTCTAAACAAACAGAGCTGAAACGTGGCAGCTTCATCCAGAGCACTGCTGTTACTATCAGCTGTATTGTGGGACTGCACACCTTCTGAAATACAAAAACAACACGAGAAAAGGGCACCTCCTGGCAGTACTTCATCATATTGCATCTGTTCAAAGATCTCCAGCTCGGCCAGCCTCTGCAGACCTGAATGCACTGACACACAGTTTACCACACACTTAAGCCATCAGCAAGCAGCCAGCAGCCTTGGCTGGATGCTCTTTTCCCTGCCGAAGTTCAGCTGCCACTAGAAATCTCATCACACCGAATAAAGTTTACTGAAAACTTTTTATTGTAATCAAAAAGTGACATAACAGGGCTGTAATGTATTCTGCAAATCATTCTGCTGATATTTTATAACTGATACCAGCTTCTTCTGCCAGGCAATTAAAAAAAAAAAAGAAGTCAAATGTGAAAATTTTCACAGTACAGTAAACTCCACCCAAACTAATTAACGGTGGTGAAAAATAAGACGCCCCAGCAAAACCTTTCATGTTACATGGTCACAACTCACAATTCTGTACAAAATGTTCACTTTTATAAAGCTCTGATGTAAAAATCAAATAATCAAGCAGCAATATTTTAAGTGCAGCACAGGGTCTTTTCATGTCATTATTTACAACGTTTGAATTCGTTTACATTTTAACAAAATTTAATACAGATGACTTAGGAATTAAGTCAATTTTTTCCTATCTGTCATTCTACATGGTGACAGATTTAACTTTTTGGTCATCTTTCTCTTTATCTTTGCTCTTCTTTGATTTTTTCTTCTTGTGTTTGTGTTTTTGGCTTTTCTCCAATTCCGGCTCATTTTCAGCGTGTTTCTTATGCTTCTTGTGTTTTTTGTGCTTCTTGTGCTTCTTTTTCTCTTTCTTCTTCTTCTTCTTCTTGCTGTCTTGACTCTCTCCTGAGCTGGCACTGCTGCTGTGGCTTCGAGTCTGACTCTCAGCAGGGCTTTGACTACGGCTGCGGCTCACACTGGGGCTGCTCTGGCTTTGACTTCTGCTTGCTTCAGGCTGGCTAACCATGGCAGGAGCTGCTGTCTCCTGTTTGACCTTGTCAACAGCTTTTTCCTTCTGTTCTTTAGAATTTTTTCCTACAGTTTCCTCATCTTTTGCAGACACGTTACTTTCACTGTCACTTTCGTTGTAGTCTGGTACAAAAGCAGCCTCATCAGTTTCTCGAGTTGGATCAGCAGAGAGCCGTGAGGGGTTGCTTACCTGAGGCTTACTCTTGACACCAGTCTTATCATTTTGTCCAGTCCCATTTTCTTTCTCATCTTTTGCATCTGGTGATTCTTGTACTGAAGATGGCTTATTGCAACTTGGCTCTTTCTCTTTATTGCTCTTTATCTCAGCTATGTATTTGTCTTTGTCCTCCTTCTCCTTTTCCCTCTCCTTTTCTTTTTCCTTCTCCTTCTCCCTCTCTTTTTCTTTTTCCTTCTCCTTTTCCCTCTCCTTTTCCTTTTCTTTTTCCTTTTCCCTCTCCTTCTCCTTTTCCCTCTCTTTTTCTTTTTCCTTCTCCCTCTCCCTTTCTTTTTCTTTCTCCCTCTCCTTTTCCCTCTCCTTCTCCTTCTCTTTCTCCTTCTCCCTCTCCTTTTCCCTCTCCTTTTCCTTCTCTTTCTCCCTCTCCTTTTCTTTTTCTCTCTCCCTTTCCTTTTCCCTCTCCTTGTCTTTTTCTCTCTCCTTTTCCTTCTCCTTTTCTTTTTCCCTCTCCTTTTCTTTGTCTCTCTCCTTTTCCTTCTCCTTGTCTTTTTCCCTCTCCTTTTCTTTGTCTTTTTCCTTCTCCCTCTCCTTCTCCCTCTCCCTTTCCTTTTCCTTCTCCCTCTCCTTTTCCTTTTCTTTGTCCTTCTCCTTTTCTTTTTCTTTTTCCTTCTCCTTTTCCCTCTCCTTTTCTTTTTCCTTCTCCTTACCTGAATTTTTATCTAGAGGTTTGTGTTCCTCTAATGAACGCTTGGAATCATGAGCAGTTTTGTGATCTGACTGCTTTCTGTCACGTGAAGGGCTGTAGCTGCTTCTTTTGGAATCTCCGGCCCCCTTTTTGGAGGGCTCTGCTCGTTCATCCCTTGGTTTACTTTTCTGTCCTGATGTAGATTCTCTGTTTCGTGAAGGAGAGTCTTTTCTCCTCGCTAATTCACTTTTCTCATCTCTGCGCTTGGAACTAGAATGCTCCCTGCTGCCATCATGGTCAGACTTTTTGTCTCGATTAGGAGTAAAATCCTTAGCAGCGGATCCACGGCCAGCATCGTGTTTCTCTGAAGATCTGCTGTCCTTGGAAGATTGAGAAATATTTTTCCCATTTCCTTGTTCAGTGGCACGTTCTGAGTGGTCTTTTTCTGGCTGAACACTGCTCTTCCTCTTTTCAGAAGTGTCCTTGTCTGACAGAGAATGATCCCGCTCTTTGGTTTTCCCTTTTTCATTCAACACTGAACTTTTTGAACCTTTTACATCATGCTGAGAGCTTTCATAACTCACCTCTTTTGTAGCTTTCTGTATTTTCTCCAAAGACTCCATTTCTTTCTCATTGTGTTTTATGGGATTTGGTGGCTTAGCACTCACATTTTTTACAACACTAGCAGGTTTTCCTATGTTTGAAGATGGCTGGGTAGACTTAACGTCTTCCTCTTCAGACTCAAAGTCATCTTTATCCCACTTTGACTGAGGGACCTGGATCATAATAATGACATCTTCAGCAGGAGCAGTTATATCATTATTATATTCCTCCATTGTCTTAATGACAGTCCGCTTTGTATCTGTCTTTTCTTCAGGCTTTCTAACAGGGCTTCCTCCAGTAGAGCTGGTGCTAACAAGAAAAATATCATAAATTAACACAATGGTAGAGATGCAAGCACAGCTGTCCTTTGCAATGCTTTACAAAACGACCTCTGTTTCACTTGTAAAACCCCAGTACTTTTTCAAAAGATGGTCAACTAAGGGGACAGCCAAGATGAAGGATGAGTCCATTGACTGAGATTATGAGCAACCAATTAGTGCCTTTCTACTACGTATTTAATTAACAAAGACACAAGACCATCAGTGCTTCCTCCCTGGAAGCATTCAAAACCAGGCTGGATGGGGCTGTGAGCAACCTGGTCCAGAGGAGGGTCATCCTGCCTATAACTGGGAGGTTGGAACCAGATGATCTTAAAGATCTCTTCCAACCCAAACCATCCTATGATTCCATGATCCGATCAGGAATTGTCTGATCAGGTAATTCCTTGATGTCCTATTTCTATCTGTGGTAGACAAATTAGATATGCCATCTAGTTTCAACAAGCAAGCAAATAAGGACCAATTATTTGCTCAAAGCAGTATAGGAAACAAGTTGCTGTTTCTGCAAATTATTTCATATGTTTCATATGAATATATCATTCAATAATTTCATGTCATACTAGCAAAAAAAAAGTCATTGATAGTACCTTGCAATTTTAAAAATACAAAATACTGCATGATACAGACATATCTGTTATCCTTGCCCTTGGTATTAAGCAGGATTTGAGGGAAGACACGGAGAGGACACCACAAAGACTCAATATGTAGCTGCATTCAAAAGGCTAATTCTCAAGAGGGGAAAAAAGTCGCAGAAGTAAGGGTCAAACGTCACCCATTAACTGAACTTACCAGCTTTCTGTTCAGACTGCTTGTTTGCTGCAACAAAATTTCATTTGTACAGTTCAGCAGAAAACCTCACAGATTATTTAAATACTCACTGAGCACGGATTTAGCTTCTCCTTCCATCAGTTATCAAAAAGATTTTAAAGAGAGAAGGCAGAGAAGGGAGAAAACGTAGGAAAAGAAATGATGAAGTACCTGGTATAATCTACAAGAGTTGAACTGGATCCATCAGCTGCTGTTACCTTTCTTCTCACTTTTCCTTTCACTTTTTCTTGTTTAACTTTGCTGCTGCTTGCCTCAACTTTCTCAACAGGTTCTTTCACAGGAGGCACGTTCTCTCCACTCACAATCTTTTTGCCAGTTTCTCGGTTAAGTTTAATCTTTTTTGCAGGAGTGATAAGAAAACCAGATTTATCTTTTTCTGGAGTTCTCTCTCCTTTCTCACCATCAGGTTCACTCTTCCCTTTCGGCGATGTTTTTGATTCAGCAGTTTCTGGTTTAGGGGCCTTTCCAGAAGCTGCCTCGTGTTCTTTATCAGCCTTTTCATCTGCTTTCCTTTTTCTTTTTTCAGTTTTTGCATCAGAAGATTTGCTTTTTTCAACTGCTTTTTTTGACTTGTCCTCTTTGCTGGAGGGCTTTTCTGACTTTAATTCTTTTGGATGGTCCTTCTTTGCCTTCTCTTCCTTGGCTGGCCTGGCTTCTGGGTGATCTTTTGCCACTTTTGGATGAACTTTCCGTGGTGTACCGAGAGCCTTCTCATCCTTTTGGGAGGAAGATGCCTTAACACTGTCTGTCTTTGGCAGCTCCTCCTTTGCTTTTTTCACAAGAGGTTCCATTCGAGGAGATTTTTCACGATCGGTGTCCACCTTCTCTTGGGAAGCTTTAGCTGGTTTTGTTACATTGTCTTTCTTTGGGGGAGCAGCCACTTCTGCTTTCCGTTTTGTCTTATCAGTTTTTGCTTTTGGCTTATCCTTGTCCTTTTTCTCTTTTTCAGACACTGGTTTGAAAGCTATGGAATCTGCTTCCATAGGTTCATCTCTCACAGGGGTGGCATCATCTCTACTCGGGAGCATGAACAGCGAGTCTGACTTAATGTCCTCTGCTGTGCCTGGTTCCCTGGTTTTTTTCGTACTTTCTAACAACTCAGCATTGGGAAATCCTTCGTTCTCATCCCCTTTTCTCCTCTTCCTGTGTTTTTTATGTTTATTTCCTTTGCCATCTCCCAGGGGATTTTCCACCTCCTTCTCTTTTGATTTGGCAGGATCTTTTAGACCATGGCCCTCTCTTCCTGAAAGCTTTTCAGGGAAATTTCCGGCTATGTTACGATTTCTATGGCTCTGCCCACCAGCATAATCCTCCCTACGTCCCCGCGAGTATGGCGAATTTTCTCTTCTGGTTCCAGGTGGACCAAATCTATCTGGAGAAAAGTTCTCTCTGTTTACTGGAGGTCGAGGTTGGGCTCCGACAGCATAGTCCTTGTAGAACTTTTCATACCATTCTCTGTAGTTCCGTTCCCATTCTCTGTATCTTTCCTTCTCAAACGGATCTCTAAAGTCAATAGATCTGCCATAGTAAGCTTTCATATCGTATGGTGGAACTTCTCTGTATCTGTTAAAATACTCCCTTTCTCCTTCCCCTTGAGGTATAGTCCGCTTAGTGGGAGACTGGCCCCTAAACACTGGAGACCTGGACCGTGAATGGTATCTTCTGTACGGGGGTGACCTTGACCTTGAACGGTGATAACCGTGTGACCTTGACCTAGAGCGATAGTTACGACTCTTCCCTTTGCCTCTTCTTGGGTATGGAGGTGAACGTGAGTAGGAACGAGAATGGGAACGACTGAATGACCGAGAGTAGGAACGGGAGCGCGAGGAGCCCGACCGCGACTTGGAGTAGGTGTAGGAGCTTCTCGAGTAGGACGAAGCGCTATAGGGAGACTTGGACCTTCAAAAAAACACAGCACAGAAAAAAGAAAAGAAAAGGACTTAATTCAAAACAGTCGCTCTTCCCCGTTTTTTTTTTTTATTTTTTATTTTTTTTTTTAATCTCCAAATGCTTATGGCAAAGCTTCTTTCAGCTGCTGGCATAACGCTACTGCAAATTGAAGAACTTGATAACGCGTGGAAGGTTTTGCTTACAAGACAAAACAGTCACTGCTTTGTTAGTGTAAAAACACACAGGAAGGGTAAGTCTATTTCCACTTGCTTCTATCGAATTAACTACTATAGCTACTGATATATTTAAGTTGGAATATGCTGACCTCTACTGGTACATGAATGCACAATTATTTTAGCACTACTTAGCAACTACACGAAGTACAACTTATATTGTAGTCAGACGCAAAACGAGCGAGTCTTAATAGCTACAGTACAGTACCAAGCAGTAAGAAAACATGAATTCAACTGAAGACAGTAAAGCCCAATTTTAAAATACCAGTTAATACCTAAATAAAGTAAATACCTAGTTAATTTAACTTCACTGTTTATTTGTAAATCTATACAGGACGTGGAATACTTTGTACTGCAAGGTTACACGCCACAAAATTTAATCAACTCTTCTAGCCAGATGTTCTAGTAAAATTCTGCATGTATCTCTAACCAAGGCTAAAGACACTGTTTCAAATAAGGTCTTATCTAAAAGTAATATTATGCCATTATTCTAAGAAATGCACTGATAACATTACTAATAGATAGTCATTCAGGCTGTTGTCCAAGTGATTTTTTCAGATAGAACATATCAACTACCCTGAGTATTCTCCTTGACACGTTTTTCTTTGACTATTTTTTAAATAACTATTCCTCATTATTCTGCACATGCTCATTAGCATCACTCTTCCTCTAGAAGCCCTTCAGCAATTTAATAGTTCATTGTAAGCACATCTGACCTTTTAACTCCTAAGAAAAAATTATCAATGTCAACAAGACACTAGCACAAGCCATCAGTCTGCAGTCCAGGTTGAAATCTCTCCATGTATCCACATGAGAAACAAAAGAGGAAACGAAGACAATTTCTCTCATTTATTTCAAATGCTTTGAGGTAATAGCTATAATCACAATAGGGTGAGGAGAACATCCAGCTACTAAACCTACTCAGCTCTTTGCCTCCTCAAGGTCGTCAGGAGGTGAAGGATGGTTACAGAAATACTTCAGTGAAAGAGACACCTGCTCCTTAATAACTGCTGCCAAATTACAAGTCAACTGTGCTCCGCTATATCTGAGCTAGCAACCTTCAAATGAAACTCCTAACAACGCTAAGCCCTTTAATCATCCAATCCATCTAAAGATAGTGAGGTGGAGTGGACCTCCTCCTGATTCTTCTAGACAATCTGCTTCTCCATTACGGACATGTAAAGCAGTTACCTGGAAAACGAACGCCTACGCTCCTTTTGAATCTTTTTATATTCCATCAATTCCTTAGCAAAATCATTTGTAAACTCATCAAGTTTGGACTTTTTCTTTTCCCTGTTAAAATAAGTTTGACCTTTATTACAATTATAGTTTGACCTTTATTACAAAAAGACATCAAGAAACAAAACATGGCCGATATGAGAAAATGTATACTGCATGCAAATGCAAAAGGCGAGCATCCTATTTACACAAAACAGTTTAGAATTCCTCTGAGTTTTAGGGAAAGTTTTAGAGTTACATTTGTCTTTAGTTTTGCACGTTTACCATCCGCAATGAAAACGTACATTGGAAGAAAAAGCTCTACATGTAATTTTGGCTTATGTCAGATGCACTTTAGGCGTAACTGCAGTCCGATTTGCTACTGAAATACAAAGATGAAAAACACCACAATCACTGAGCCAAATACTTACTCCTCTTTAAGTCTCCGTTGTTCTCTGTAAAACTCCTCCCTAGATAAAGGAGGTGCTTGTGTCGTTGGGATGGTATTTGAATGAGCCGTTGGTACTGCTGTTGGTACCCAAGCTGATGACATGTTTGCAGGAGCTGGGGGATATCCTGGAGGGGGAACAGGGTACCCAGCTGATGGAGGCTGACCAGGTGGAAACTGAGGAGGAAACTGTGGTGGCGGTACCCCCGGTGGAAGAGGAAGTGCATGGGGAGGTGGAGGATACAAGGGAGGTGGAGGCACAGGCACAAAGACTGGTGCTGATGCTGGTAGTGTTGGGGCCTGAGTCCTTTGGGAACGTTCACTATGCGGGCGTCCTCGATTTGAACTTCTAAAGAAACCCAAAAACATGTGTCACTGTTTGTTACACTCTGCCCCGATTTTAAAGAGGAAAGCAAATGAAGCAGGAGCACAGTGTGACCACATCTCGTTCTGAGATTAAGCGCTTTTCTCCCTGCCTTCTGGTCATTTCAGTCTACATTCGTTTCCTGATCCACATACTTGATTTTCTCATCCTCACGCTCCTAACAGTTCCCTCAGTCTTCTCTGCTTACACTCATCTTCATAACCACAGATGGAGGCTGCCTATGCTTAAAAGAGACACCCATTTCCCATGTGACAAGTGCCCATTGTTTCTCTGCCACTCCTTGAAACATCTAATATTTCACACTTCCAATCTTCAAAGCAGTGCACAAATATTAATTAATCTTCTCTTCAACTTCTTTTAACATCTTCCACACTGGCATCCTATGTTGTTGCCTCACGATGATGCATTTGGCCTGTCCTCGTTCCTAAATCGTTATTTTCCTTATTATTGAATCTGAGATTTTACCTCATTTGTGGGATGGATGTTTGTTTCTGTTTTGATTTATCCTTAAGATTTTATAAACGTAACGCATACTTAAAATTTATCTATAACAAATATTTACCAGAATGAAAGACAAAACTTAACACTATGATTAATAAGTAAAACAGACTCCTCTCTCTCCAAGTGAGAGAAAGCAGTCTGGCTGTTCGAGAGGACTGAAAAAGCTCCAAACAGTTGTAAAATAAGAGCACTGAATTTGCCAGAAATTTGTTTAACTAATATATTAACTAAATTGCTGAAAAAAATAGTGTTGGAGAGTCATGTCCATGAAATCAACTTCTTTGACAATATTCAGCCAAAGGGCTTTCCATCTGGTCTTTTAATTATATTTAATTTGAATACGTAATCACTGATTCCTCAAAAAGAGTTCATTTTTCACATCCTCTTCAATTACGCAATGTAGCCTTCTCTTAAACAGCCTTTTTGGAAGCACAGATCCCCTTTGTTAGACTTAATTTGAATAAAGCTATTTAAACATTAATTACCACTCCACAATTACCTGTACATACTTATATATATACTTATATAATTATCTTTACATACTTATATATATATACTTATATCATTATAAATAAACCGTTGACTAAGTTATGTGCCACTGCCATATTCAAAATGTTACAAGCAACAACATATTGAATTTCTGTAGAATATACTTACAGTTCCCAACCTGGCCTGCCACCAGCTGAGCGAATTGCACCAATTCTCATTGGATGACCTTTCGGATTGGAAAGAAGGAAAAAAATCCATTCAGGTTTATCTGAAGTGTTTTTTTTGTTTGGTTGGTTTTTAATTCTAAAGCTGCAGACACTTACCAGTTGTGGGAATTGATTGTCCTTGTGGGCCCAGAAGACTAGGTATTGCTGGTTGCCTTAGTACAGGAACCTGATAGCCCTTGTGAATAAACGCAAACTGTTAGAAAATAAGATTAATTAAAATACAAGAATAGGCAGAAATCGGTCAAAATACAATTGTCTGTTGAAATAAAATTTACCTTCTCTTCCAACAAACTGCTGATTGCCAAAGAGGAAGATTTAGAAAGCTCAGCAGCTGTCACCAGAGCAGCAGGAGGTATAATATCTGGATCACTAGACAAAAAAATAACCAACAAATTTTCTTACTTAAATACGTTGTTTTGAAGAGCTACTAGAAATGCAAAGTTCAAAAAAGTAGGAAAAGGCTGAATACTGTAAAAGGAAAAATAAATTAAAAAATAATCTACACCAGATTTACAAACGTAAAGTTGGCTGATTGCAAATGAAGTACCGAATTCAATTTGAACTAGAGAGAGTTCAAGGGAAAAATGTTTTATTAAGCTAGCTGCAAATGAAAGGCTTAGAGTACTTATAATCCACACACTAAAACTCAGTTTTGGAAGATGAAAGAAGAACTTAAATTCTTCTAGGATGTGTTTATGTACTACTTCATAAAGCTGCCTCAAAGGTTTCCTTAAAATTGTGACCCTTTGACCTCAACAGCACAGCTGAGCCTGACAGCCCTCTGGACAGAGCAGTTATTTGTATCCAAAGCTTAAAGTCCAAAGGATATAAACCCTAAACAATAGCTCCTAGTTTAAATATATTTTCAGTCAACTTCACTGGATTGCAAACTTTGACTTTTATGTTTATGAACACTTCAAACTTACAATATTTTAAAGAATTATTACCCAAATCAGTACGAGTCAGACTGCACTGTGCTTTACTGAAGATGATTCTGACATCATAATAAGGATGACAGAATTATTGTAGAAAAAAGTAACGTGAAAACACCTGGTTAATTTTACCTGTAATTGACCTTGTACACTTTTCATGAAAACACTATCTCCTCAGTAACAGGAAAACTAATGCACTCAAAAAGTATTCATGTGATAGCTAAATGATCACTTTAGGAATTGCTTGTCATTAAATTAAAGGGCTGCTGAGGAAAAGAAATCCTGTTATAGGATTCATTCTTAATCACTGATAGGGAATCAAACTAGAAAAACTGCGAAGTTCTTGAAAGAGGCACAACTCCAATCTAAAGTATCCTCATCCAAAGCAAAAACAAGAAGCAGAACTTATACAGCTACAGGCAACTGCCATTAGCGATCCATACGTAAGTCACCACGAGGCTTCAGAAGAAGAATCTAACTTCAGCATTTTGTTGTCTTTTGTGTTTGTGCTGAGCTACAGAGTTTGAGATTCACTCACCGAAAAGGTCCATCTGGCTTTTCACCGCGGAGAGACAGAGACACTGCTGGAGGCAGATCAGAGACGAGGACAGAAGATGGATTTACTGGTAGTGCAGCTGCAACAGACTGACCAGGGGCCAAGGCAGCAGCAGAGTGAGAAGACAGAGAAGCTAATGGAATCATCAGTGGATCCTGCTGCCTGGAAATTGCTGGCCTCATTAGGGGCTGCAGGTTGCGTGTTATGGTTTGTCTCATTAGCGGTGGTGGAGGCGGAGGTGGCGGTGGTGGCTGCTGCTGTTGCTGCTGAATCTTACGGAGCCTTTTTGTGTAGCCAGTTTCATTTTTGAAGTTGTTCACAGCCTAGAGGTGGAAAGACAACTCAGCACCAAAACAAAAACTTCCAAGGAGTAAAATTACATGTGTAATTAATTCAGTAGATGTATTTGTATTTAGAATTCTTAACTTCAGCATTAGCACTGAATCCCAAAGCAAGACAATCATCGTAAAAAAAACCAGTGCCTGTAGTTCACCAACTGCCACTAAAGAGCTGTTGGTTTTCTGTAGTAACTTGAGTGCACTTGAGAAGTAGATTTAGCCTTACTCAACTCAGCCTTGCTGAAGGAGACAAAACTCACTACTCTCTTCCACTTTAGCTTCTGACAAAGGATTTTTTTCTTACAGAGGCTTTGTGTAAAAGTGACCGTATTACCTGGCGTAAGAACTTGTTGGCGATCAAAGCATCTGGAGACACATCTGTTTGATGACATGTTGGGCAGGTATGTTCCTCAGATTCCAATAATGCCGTTCTGATACCTGTGAATAATCAGAACAACCAATATCATTTTTAGGCACATTGAGAAAATTTGGAAATTGTAACCATTTTTAAAATCAGGAGCATGATTAATGAGTACTGTCTTGAATTGAGGGCATAAAGCTCTAAGTATAGTATAAAAAATAGAACTTGCAGCAAACAACTATAGCTGTTATAATTATTGTATATTAGCTATAACTAATATAACTATAGCTATTATAATTATTGTAACATTTGAAGCTGCAGACTGGACTGCACCATGCCACTTCAGCCAGTCCTTCTTCCCATTACCTATTACAGTGAGTTGTCAACCACCCTCAAAGTAAACACTGCTAAAAAAACATTGCTAAAAACCATCAGTAAGCTCAGATTCACCAGTTCTTAACCTTCTGGATTGAATAACTAACTATCCACTTGTTTCAGTTCACAGTAAGTCAAGACTTCTGATATATAATAGCAACACTGCATAATGAAAGAAAAAGCCGGAGAAAAAAGTAAATGTATTCAACACCTACCACGGTAATGACCTGCACAAATAAGTACACTTCTCATACTCATCCTTCTGCAGAACAACAAAAGCTTTCTGTATTTTTCCCACCCTTTATACCTTTCTAATTAGGCTATACTCCAGCACTAAACAGAGCTGGTAACAAAACCAATTTTGTTAGCTCCTATTTCTCCCATCAGTAGATCATGTTTGACGTTCTGAATTAACAAACGTGGGAGTAATACTTACATTCATCACAGTAACTGTTTCCACAGCAGGGAATAACAACTGCATCTGTCATTATATCTTTACAAATCAGACATAACAACTCATCTGGAATAGGATCATCCTCTTCTGAGGAGGAGGATGGCTCTTCTGGCAAGAAAGGAGGCTTTTCCTTCTTTCCTATAGCATAAGCTTCCCTGGAGGGAGGGAGGAGATGGCAGGGAAAGGAAAAAGAAAATGATTTGAATATAGATTAAAAAACCCAAACTCTTCCAAGCTTTTGACTTTATCAAAGGACTTTATTATTACCCTTGTGATCAAACCTTTTTCTACAGCCACAGCACTACCAGAGGGAGTATCTACCCATTCTGGAGAATTCTCCCAGCTGTTAGTTCAACCAAGACAAGAAATTAGCCTAGACTAGAAAGATCACTGACAGTTGGAAATCATGTGTAGCGAATCCCACCACTTCAGTACCAAAGAGTAAACCAAAGTTGTAGGCTCAGGATATACTTTATCCCTGAGAAATTACATTTTCTAAATTAAAAATGTCTACTTGGAGCTTCTACAAAAGAAGATCCAAACCAGAAAAACAGAAGCATTACCAAACACTTCTAAAACTGGAATAGACATACACTACTCTCAGAACACACTAGTATTTTCTCATTTCATACCAGCAAGAAAACTTCACTGCTTCACAAGTGAGATCTGATAGACAGAGGGGGAGGAAATCTCAGCCCTACGGCTATTTGTTAAACCTTTCAAGAAACCTTTGAAGCACAAACAAGGAGCAAATCAAACCTTCTCAAGAGAACCATTCTGATTGTAAACACCAACAAAATACTTTGCAGAAATATGGATTCTTAGCTTACAACTAGTTTAACCCGATTCTAGAGGGATGAACAGTGAGACCACCTTATTTTACTATGAGAAGTCATCACTCTGAGTTCAAGATATAACAGTGCATCCTTTCCTGCAACTACTGATGCTGAACAACTTGTTTGAATTGCCACTCAAGCGTTTACATAGGGTCTCATTTGCTTTTTGGTCCACCTGGAAACTCCCATACTTACGCATCAATAGTTGGTATAGCATATTTTCCAGTGTTTGTCAGCATAGCACCCTTTGTATTGGGATCTTTCACCTCCATCATGAAACTCCTGGGAATTCCAGTGCTCTTTTTAATCCTGGGTACTGACTCAAAATTTTTGTCCTGTTAAGAAAAGAAATGCAGACACTTCATCCTAAGGGCCAATGAATGACATTTCAAAGATTAACCAATGAAAGCTTTTAATCCTTTCCTTTTCTCTGGTGTGAGGGTTGCATGATTGAAATATTGTTAAGTATAGTCAAAGGTTTGAGCTGTATTCTGAACAGACATTCATACAACTTCCGGCTCCTCAGGGGTGAAATACATTCCAGTGGTTAAATATTCCCCAGTTCACCATTCCAGCAAGACAGAAATAAGGTCTTGCAGAAGGAGTCTATTTCAGAACTCTGAATCAGCCACTGGAGACTTAAATTCCTTATCTATGTATGAAGGTTTGATTCACTCCTACAAGTCTATGTTAAGTGCTTAATGTTAAATGGTATGAATACTCAACATGCAAATCTTCAGTAGATTGGGTCAACAGAAAAATCATCTTGCAATGCAAAGTACTAACTGATGGCCATCATAAATTTGAAGTTCAGGGGAAAACGTCCAATTAAACTGGAGTGCATCAAAATATAAACAAAGATACACAAAGAAAGATCTGTGGGCATACTTAAAGCCTATTACTGAGGAAAAGAAGGAAGTTTTATGCTTATAATTCCATCTTTACCCTTGAAGTTTCAAGGGCTTTGCAATATTGTCTTGCAGCTCTGTATTTCACCTTAAGAAAAATGACTCAAAATGAATGTCAATATATTTGTTAAGTAACTAAGTTTGAATAAATAAATAAGCAACTAAATAACACCAGCAGTCCACTGCAATCTTACCCCATTTGTTGGGCAGTTCTTTATATAGTGACCAGGTTTTCCACAACGAAAGCAAGTGTATGATGGTGGAGGTGGACCCAACGGTTTCTTCATGTAACTAAAAAAGGTTTTTTTTTGGGGGGAAAAAAAAAAAAAAAAAAAAGTATGCATGTGTATCTCACTTAAAAGCAAACAATTCTATAACACTTTTCTGCAATCTTCAAAGATTTGATTCTATCGACACTTACTTGATCGGATCATATTCATGGCCAGACTGTGACATCATAGCTTTTATTTTATCTTCTTCGGAAGCATTGGCTTCAGCCAGATTGGCAGTCTGTTTAACAGGTAATTATTTGACACACACATTAGAAACACATTTAATTCCACACAGCCAAAGACAACACCACTCATCCAATCCTGTAAAGAGCAGCACAACTCTAGCTGAGGTTGCATGAAAACAGCTGCTTATATAAAATATATTTGTCCTGAAGATGTTCTGGGGAGTCCTTATGCCATTACATGATGTTTATGAGCCTGTTAATCTACTTGAAAAGAACATTCTTGGGCACTCAAAACCTTAGGCTCTGTTTGTACCTTACATAAAGACTTGTGTAACCAATCCAAATTTCTTCAACATAACGTGGACTGAAGCTACGCGTCAAACAAACAGAAGAAAACCCCAAACCACCACTATCTGGTATTTTAAAATTGATTTTTAGGCTCCAGACTATTTTGGAGGAGATATCCATCATACATTCAATTCAGAAATACAGTTGGCAAGGAACCACTTCTTACATTTTGCAGCGTTAAAAGGACACACGACTTGCTGTCAGGGAAGCTGTTTCTGCTTGCTGGAGTTCTGACAGAGGAGCATTAAAAGGAATCAAGTTTTTAGGAGATGTTCAGCAAGACAAATGTTAAAAAGACAAAGGAGTCTTTTGGGTAGAAATTTGACCACCATGTGCTGTGGAGAGTCCAAACTGCACGTTGTCCCCAACAAACTATCTTCCTCATACTAAGAGCTTTAAGTGCAAGTAGAACCTGTAGGGACTTTTTTTTCCCCAGTTCACTGTATCCTTTTAACTTACAAAATGTAATATAAACCTTACACAGAACTAGATCTTCACATCATTGAAGCGAGCTGATTTTTTAAAGCAGTATTTGTTAAAATGTTTTGTTATACACTAGTCCAGATACAAGCAGGGTCTAAGGGAGTGACTGCAAATTATTTGGACCTTCAAGCACCTATCACTCAGATCAACCACTCATGTTTCTGTTTTTATATGCATTCATTCACAAAAGCAACCAACTAGTTTCAACATTTTATTAAATGGTTGTTTCACATACACAGTTTTTCTCAACATTAACAGATCGACATCTATGAAACCATTTCCATTAACATTTACAGAAAACTTGTACAAAAGCTTGCCTAATTTGTTTGAACCCAAACGGTTTACAAAACACACCCAAAACCCACAAAACATTAGTAGGAATAGACCAAAATTCAAATATGGCATTTAATACATAGTGAAAATAAAACAGAACTGTGAACGCATTGCCTCCACGCTAAGCCAGTCTGCACTGAAGAGGGCAGGGTACGTGACAGTTTGGAGCTGCCTCCTTGTGTTCCTGTACTTCTCTGAAATACTCAGATTTTCTTGAGAGCTTAAATGTGTTACAACACTGGGACAGTTTCTCGCATTTTGGAAAAAAACTTGACATGAGCTTACAGAACCAAGGACGTATTCAGGGACAGCACTAATGGGGACCAATTTCTTTAGGTGGCTACATTCCAAGTGGTTTTTTGTTTTTTGGCCAGATGGATACAACTTATTTTCTGAGTGGGTAAGGGAAGAATTTACCAGTGGGCAGACTTCTCTTTTGGAAGTTAACTCCAGCGTTTATTGTCAGAAGAACAAACTCCAGCTACTCTGCCTTAGTCCCTGCCTTCTCTGATCTTTGAATTGTGATGACTAGCAGTTTAGTCGGCTAGCACTAAGCCTTTTCCAAGTGCAATCACTAGTGCTTTCCCAGACAAAGGTACACATTATTGAGCAAAGAATGCAAGCAGTTTCATAGCAAAACATGGCATTACAACAGTTTCAGAAGGTCACATCTGCTAATATGCCACACATACACATTGGTATATTCCTATAAACAATTAGGTACATTTACACAATTTTCAGTCTGTGTTCAAACAAATTAGATTGTGTTGCCCACTAGATATACTACAGTTTATAAAACTGTGCAACATTCAGGAATGGATCTGTATCTAGGAAGACTAGGAATTCAAAAATAGCCATGCAATTGTCCATGTGACAGAAACACTCGTTTTTTGGCTGTTGCAAAGCCCTCTGGAATGTCCATAACTTACAGCCAATTAAATTCTTCTGTAAAAATTGTGTTAGTTTCCAACGAAAAATTAACGAAACGTATGAAAAAACGGTAAACCGCTTCTGTGCTTCTTCTTTGTGTCTTGAAGATGAGTAATACTGCAACATTATGTTGAGGCTGATAAGGTACTCCCCTTCCATCTTCCCAAACTGGGAACTACTCTTTACAGGATAGTATCAAAATTTACACACAGTTTTAGAATTAAAATAAATACTTAAATCTTATTAAAAATTAAAGATTTCTTCAAATTACAACAGTAAGCCAACTATAGATCACAACAGAAGATTTAAAAACACGAAGCAAACGCTTTTTTTTTTAATACTTGACAAGAATATATATATACCTTCGTAAGCTGGGCCAGAGAAATAGATGCAGAAGAGTCATCAATCTGTTCACAAAAAATTAAACACATATTCAAGTTCTACAATCAAAACATGGCAACATTTAACCTCTACTGTAGTCAAAGCCTGCACTATATTGCCCGTCTCTTGAAGATGCATTTTCAACTAAATATATAATTTGCATTTATTCAAAACAAAGTCCAAACAAATGAGAGCTTAAGGTGTCTATACGGTTAATGAGAAGAAACAAAAGCAACCAAACCCAACTGAGATCAACTTATCGCTCATGAGTACCTCAGAGAGATACCTCTGTCAAACATTTACAAGGGCATAAAAGTCAAACAGGTAAGGAAACTGTCAACTTTCAGTTAGAAGGGACTTTTTAAAATAACATTGACTTTTATTTGAGGAGGAAACATCGTGGGGAAACTTATTTTCACTGTAATTTGCTGGTTAATCACTCAACGTTTCACCATTTATAAACGCACATGGCTAAGCTCTTGTGAACACAATGGCAGCCTACAAAATTAAAGCACAGGCCTGTCAGCTCTGAGCCATGAACTATTTCTAAATGAGGAGGGGGACCAATCTCACCACACCCCACAAAACCCAAATATCAATCCAAAGCATCAATCACAAAAGCAATCTATCAGCTTTCTGCCTCAACAAACCCTAACAAACAAAATCCCGATCAAATTATTGAAATAAAGGGGCTTACCGTGACAGAATAACCTATGAAAACGGATTTCTACTACTTTATTAGAGCACTATATGAATTAGTTTGGAAAGCGTAAGAATTCAATATTTTCTCTACTATCTGATAAAAATAGTTTCCAAGTAACAGCCTTGTACTAAATGCACAAAAGCAAGAAAACAAAGCATACAATAAGGAAATAATGAACACAACAGTATTTTTCTCTTTTGCAACCACTTTTCTCTCTTCCAGCTACTTACAGGATCAGCCTGAGGGAACCAGGTCTTAAGGCCACTAGTTAATAATGGACCACAATGCTCACTGAGATCCAAAGTGTAGCTTTCCCACTACTGGAAAGCATCCTTTCCCAGTTTCTGAATCATGCCACAAGCAGCAGTAGGCTCACACTAGTAAAGCGTTGCCAGAAAGACACTCAAAATTTGACTTATGGTTTAAGTTCAAAGCAGTAGAAAAAAAATTCAGCACGTAAACTGAACAGATCTCCTTGAGAGCTCAATGAGCTGATCAGAAAAGAGATAAACAGCCCTTCCTTGAAAAATACGCTTTACTACCTAACAGAGAGGAAGAATTCAAGGCAACAGCTTTAGCAGATTGCGGGGAAAAATAGCTATCTGCAGATGAATCTTCACTCCAGTGAAACACTGGTTTTAGTTAATCACTCGTTTGCTTTTCAGAAGATTTTGCAATTAGTCAGGTTAAAAAGGATGTCTGAGTATTGAGAAGCACGACACTCCATGAGCCACTCCTTTAAGCATGAGAGAGCTGTGTTCTCTCATGGGAGGCACAACTTAGCCACTATCATTTGGTGATTTTTCGGGAGCAAATTAGAAATTAAGGACACTACCTAATGGAGCCTAGAAATTTGACGACACATTGAACGGTCTAGTACTGATGAGTAACACACAAAATATTGATCAGTTCTTGTACTTTATTAGGAAGATGCATTATATGGCCTGCGGGCAAGTGTCTAACTTCCTAAGGAGGTGACAATGCTCCTTCCTATCAAAAGCAGCAGGCAGGTAATGCAGTCAGTTTGCCCAATTGCCATCTTCCAAAGATCCTGCATTCTTGTCTATTTTTTTCCCCATTACACTTCAGCTCAACTAATTGCTGCCAGCCCACCCAGTCAATCAAGCAGAAACACCTCCAGGAATGCTGTGCACAGCCCTATGGTAGTACTGCAGGAGAACTGGGGGAAAAAAGCCCAGTGTTGCCAGTCAGATGTATAAACTCTCAATTCCCACTGAAGACTAAACAGAAGGTAACATGAAGTAAAGAAAAAAGGGGACAGAAAACAGGGAAAAGGCTAATCCTGCTGCTGGAATGCTAGATGTAAGTTACAGTGGTTTTCTAAGAGCTGAGAACTTAGCCGAACTGCAAATTCATTGCAGCTGTATTTCATGGCACTAAAATACAAACAGAACTGCGCATTTCTGCAGCCTCTACGGCCAAATACCAAATAGAGATTCCTGCAGTCCCTGAAATACTAATGCTAAAGCAAGATAACCTACTGCCTTCATTTGATTGTAATAACAATTGAACAACACACGTTTGGAAGTGAAGAATGACAGCTATCGTGAAAGAGAAACAATGAAAAATAAGCTGTAAGCTTTTGTGCATCCTGGGTTGGTTTTTTTTGACTCATTTCAGTTTTGCTGCCTTTGCCTTACTGCTGAACAGCAATCAGTGAGCTTCCCAGGAATTTATCCCTACCACAGTAAGATCCAGGCTCTACTTTTAAATATATGTGATTCTGTACTTACTGCAAATAATAAGAAAAAAATCGTTAGACAAAATCTGAGCTGCTTTTAGAAGTGAATCTCACTGTACTTCCAACTCTAGAAGCCCCTGCCAATGCAGTGCTTTTAAAGTCATCTTTAATTTTTATATATGCATATACATATATATATATACATATATATATATACATGCAAGGAGGTTTCCACCCTCCCTATGCCTACCCACAGCCCAAATTGGGCACAGTCAGAGCAAACAAGAGGGAAATGTTTTTGCTTTGTCTTCCATTTACTTCAATTAGCTCTAACTTACACTAACCCCCCCAACACACTCCAGATACCTTTTTTTTTTTTCTTTTGAGGTATCTACATTAGCTTATGGTAAGATGCTACTTAAGAATGCAATACACACATGCCAGGGAACACACAAGGCTAAAAGAATGTTAACTTTATTTATGAACATGTGGTTTGTGCTTATACACATGCTAGTAAACAAAAAGAAAAATAACTGTTTCCAAGAAATAAAAACCCATCTGAATTAGATCAAATACTATAAACGTGGTTTATGTAAACGCATTACATTAACTACGAGGGTCACTGGCCCAGTTAAGCTAACTTGAACTCACAATGAGAGGTATTTATGTCACAAAAGGAATTCAAACCAATCAGGGATTGAATTACGGATGTCAGATTCAGACTTAAGTCTTTTCAGACCTACATACAAAAAGGTTTTGATCTGAAGTTGATTGCAAACCATTCCAAGAGAACCAGAGGCTGTATTCTTCACAGAACACAGACACTGAGTTTATGAATTTCTAGGTTACATTATCCTAACAACTCAGAAAGTGATCAGATCCAATGATCCAGGGTTAGTGTAATGCCTCACACCATTCTAGTGAAGAAAAAGCAGTTATACTTAAAGATGAAAAACAAAAACCACCAAGCAATAATTCTTATACTCTAAGGACTATATTGAAATTCAGAGTAATACATAATATTTGACCCAAGTGGCAAATCAATATCTAGGTCATCACCAGTTAAATATTTCCTTGTGTACTTATCTATATCTTAGCAACAGAGTAACAGTGTGTTTTCAAGCCCGAAGAAAAGCACTGCCCCTTTTCCAAATGTAAATTCCAAATGGTGGTATACTAAAGAGAGGCTTAACTGTTGGGAAATTAAAGCAGCATCCAGTTGGGAGGCCGCCCAAATTCAAAAACACACTACAAAGGAAAGTTCAGAAAGATGAACACGGACTGCAGCCACACAGGCACCAGGCTGTAACCTCGTGCTGACATTTGTACACCATGTCTCAGGCATTTTCACTCACAGTTAAACTATTAAACTAAACTGTTTCATCAGATAAAGTGAAAAGTCCAAATGCAGAGCTTTAGAATACCACTTTGTAGCAATGATATTCAATGATACTCAAATTCAAGTTGATTTTTCAAGACATTCACGTACTCAGAGGGGCCCAAACAATATCACTTCAATTACAGTTTTAGGAGCAAACACTCAAGTGTTCAAGGACTTGAAAAGGAATTATTTAGCTGTGCAGAAACGTCCTCAGAAAATGCACGGGATTTGTTGGTTTTGGTATTTGTTTGAACCCCCAGGTCAAAAGTAAGAAACAATACCCAGTTTAACAATAATGGTTTCTCAGTGGTTTTTGATCACATTTTCAAAAACCATTAGGCAAAAAAAGGTATTTAAAAACAAAAACTAAGTGATACAATGTGAAAATGGCAAAAAATACACTCCAAACATTTTTATTGCAAGAAACAAAAAAGCACACAACAGCCTATACAAACATACATATCACTAGCTATAGACAGACAGATGTAGAACATGGCACCATGTTCAGTTGTGCAAACCTCAAACCTACACGATCTGAACCGATCATACAGTATCTGTACAACAAGAAGTCATACAGGAAATATTCTAGCACGTTCAATATGAAATACAATGCATTACTAAGCACAAATACCAATATTCACATTAGAATTGTGCAAGTGATATCGTTACTCAGTTTTTACTACTCTGAATCAAATACATTGTATTTACAGCATATACTATGTTTTGATTGAAAAGATATTAAGTTAATATTTGGAAAATTAATGTAAGACTACATTGTTTATAATTAAGTGCAGTGTGTAGAAAAAAGTGTGAGATTGTGTTTTTACATACTGCTTTTGATGTTCCACTCACTGGTTCAGTTCGACTTCTAGAAGAAGAAATAAAGGTGATCAGAATTTAAGGAACAGCACTTGTACAAAGAGATCATAAAACCTGAGCATTGAAAAGTCACGTTCTGAAAGCCCAGAGAAAGTAGAAATTCATACATAACTCTTCTACCACCGTATATTCAGCACAATGAAAAAACCCACATTCCTACTTTGTTAAATATCATTTTAAGATTTACAGATATAAATCAGATTTATTTTCAGGTACATAACAGTGCAAGCAGAAGTCCTCAGGCATTTTGTCTCTGCTATGTAAGCAGCAAAAATATGAAGCCTGTACTATAGCTTTGTGTTCTGAAATAACATTCTAAACATGAAGCCAACTTCAGCCAACCCATATACCCCTAGTGTTACAACTAGTTGGCTGATACAATACCTTCATTTCTAAGAGAGAGCACTTACAGTCTACATGCTCTCAAGTGCAAATTTACTCGAGTGAAAAAAACAATAACGTAGAAGTCAGTCATCTGACAAAGGAATAACAAAAATTTCTGCTTCACAGTCTTTAGAACTGTGGTTGTTTGTGGAAGTCCAAGCACTGCGTTCAGATATCTGCTATATTTGCCACGAAATTGCCAAAATATTAGAACTTGTTAGCTACTCTATATGGACTAAGAATAGTAGTAGAAATGTCACCTGAAAGGAGTTTCTACCATTTTGTGCGATTTAGGAGTCCTGTGACAAAAAAAAAGGTCTTAATTGCCAGAATTTGCTTTAAAATAAACTTGAAAACTCTACGATATTTTAGGAAATATTTATTATGTTTAAAACTCGCTGAGATTTCGCATACTGTTTGGTCCATACCTGCACACTGCTTCTGAATCTGACATAATTCACAAACAGTTCAAACACTGGAACTGCCCCACAAGCAGCAGCAACTTGAAGGCTGCTGTGGAACTGATGTACTCAGGGAAAGGCTCCTGCTCCCTGCCACTGCTAGAAAACCACAGGGCTCATATTGTGTATCCCAAAGATGAGGAGGTATATGGAAATATTCAGATTACCATTCAACAGTTTCTTTATGTGTTTACCTTGAAGAACAGACTATGTGAAGAGCAAAACGTTTACAAAGGCCTCTCCATCATTAGAGCACGTGCTCATAACTCCCAAGACTTAGCCAGTCTGCCACTGGTTTCTGCAGCGTTTCCAGGTGAAGGGACAGAAAGCTAATCTACCTGGTTAATTTTCAACATTAAAACAGCAGCACAATTCTTCCTCTATCCCCACACAAAGATATTTCTCAGATCTTTGATACTAGCTGCACCTGTCCTCTAGTTTTAGAGCAGCATGATGATACCAGGAGGGGGTGCCATCCAACCAGAGATGGAGGATGCACCAACAAGCATTAGGCATACGTACTTAAGCCCTAAAACAAGGCAGTGTTTATAAGCACAGGGCTGTATGGCCCAGAATTACCAGGCAGCATCTGAAAGAGCTAACCCAACTATGGCAGTAATATACCAAAGTTCACGTGCAGAGCCACATAAATTCAACCTTTTTGCTTGCAAATACTTCATGGGTACCAAGATGCTGCTGCAGAGTTCGTTAGAGACAAAATGTAACTCATCAGTAAACTTTATTTGCTGAGAATCAATGTTAAAAAGGTGAGGCAAAACCACAAGTTATAACAGCTACTAATTGTGGTGGACAGGGATATCTTTGGGAGGGCAGGAAAACTGTGACATTCAAACAATGCTAAAGGCTGATGCAGAACTGGACTCTGTGAATGAATAAATGACAGCAACAATCCTGTAATCTAATTATAATTAACACGTGATTCTCTGTTCTCCAAGAATACTAGGATGAAAACCTGGAGCACAGATACCAGCTTAATTAAGGTAAAAACAGAAAGCCGAATAGTAACATTTGGCAGCATGCTAACACACCTGCTGAGTTTAAAGCCAGGAAAGCCTCAGCTATTCCTTCATGGTACCCCCACAAAAAACAGTAAACTTAAGGGTATTGTGCTTTTTCACTTGCATGACTCAGTTATTGTCATAAGGAAACTAACTGGAATCAGTTATGCATGAGACTTCTTGCTCGCAAGGCTCACCAACTGGTAACCCTTGCTCCATCCTCTACCACTAGCATCAGAAATACCAGGTTTGGGCTGTAAGAATCTTGCATTTTTGTCTTTGTGAAATGGCTAGTAAGGTCTCACACTGAGAAGCAGACTACTGAGATGGAAACAAAATATAAATATGCATGGTAGTGTAAATTTCTATCTACCACACAGTAAAATGGAGTTATACATATAATAATAAGGAATTTCCTTGTGTAGAGGAAACAGGATCTAAAATCTTGGGTCTCAGGAAGTCAGCCCCAGGAACAAAGCCAACAGAAACACCTCAAAAGTCACTGCTGCTGGCAGGCTTAAAAATGTAACTCTGTTTTGGGAGAGGTATATAAAAATCCACCCCATTATAAAGACAAAAATAATGGCAGCTTCAAAAATAAATACATGAATGCCCTTAGGTAACTAATATCAATCCAAACAGTGAAGAAACATCTCACAAAGAATACAATGCTTTATGTATACTTACATAACATATGTTTTGCTTGTAGCTTTTACTCCACCAATAGGGATTCTTCTAACAATTACAGATGAATTCTTGGGAATCAGAGCATTATCATCTGTGTATTCTAAAAAAATGCAAATGCAGAAAAAAGATCAGAAGAGCACATATTAATATGTATTCTGATAACATTTCAAAGCACCCTTTTACAGATACAGAAGCAGAAATATACATGTACCATTTGCACTTTTACTGTCTTATAGATTTTTTCTGAAGCAGACCATTACTTTAAGCTTGATAATCAAATGTAAGCAACAACTTTTTTTTTTTTCAAGCTACTCTGAATGCCAACAGCAAAACGGTCTCAAAGGTCACTGAAAGAGTCTGTGAGCACACCACGTTCATTCCTTCCACACTGGGTTGCTTTTACTTCTGTTAGGCTACAACACCAACAGGCTTTGGGAGAACAAACAAGCCCTGCAGTCCCACAAGCATAAAGCAAATTTTTAAGCCCAGTTATTCTGCCCTGTAATAAGACAGGATCTCAACTAAAGCACGACAACTTTGAGCTACTGCTTCTGTAGTTGATAAACCGATTCATTTTGGCTGCTAGTGTCTGACACAGAACGCAGAACAGAATCTATCATCTCTGTCTAGGATCTGAACAGATCAACAGCCACCAAGCTTTTCAGCTGCTCAGTGTTTTAAATTTAAGCTGAAACTAAACTGACACTGCTAGAAACTGTAGAAACTTTTCTTTTTCAGCCCACTCTCACAAACAGGCCAGGAGTGACTCAAACTATAGTGGTATCTCTGTTCTTAAGCTCGTTATCTAGCTTCAATTAACTACAGAGGGGTGAACTCTATACAGTCACTTTTTGCAGAGGGAAGTAACTCAAAATGACTTACAAAGGCAGATTTTAAAAAGCTTATACAAAACAGCATATCTATCTGAAGCTATCCATGCCTTGCCTCCCTTAGCACCATCTTGGTCGTTTGAGAAGGAGGAAACTGCCTGACCTTTTACATAAGACTCAAACAATCCTGTCTGAGACAATGAGTAACACTGAAACACCGAAGTCTTTCCACCAGAATAGCTTTTTGTTTGGAACATCTACAAGCCAGCCACGACTATTTTAAAGCATTGTCAGCAGCCATTCCCTACAACCCACCCACAGTTTTAAATACTAAAAGCCATTGACCTTTGCAGAACAAATCAGAAAACCAAAGGCTCTGTGCATCTGGCCACGTGTGCACTCACAGAGGTTTTGTCCAGTGATCATACACAAAGTCAGACTATTTCATGACTTTGGCTCCATTTTTCAGCTCCATGTTACTCCTAGAAAAAGGGGCATCATTTAGACGGAAACACAACTATCAGAGGGTATCATCTCAACTCTGAAAGATTCATTCCTGTTTCCAGATGATAAATTACTTCTTCAAAAAAAATGAACAATCAACTAGCTGAAATTAATTCCTGATCTTCCCCAAGGGAATTGAACAGCACACTTCCACTGAATTTCACAGTCATTTAGAACTGTGTGAGAAAGGACTAATCCTAATGACATTCATGAGAACAGAAGCTTTTTCTGAAGTTACACATCCTGAAACCAACCCTTAGAGCTCTACGAAGATCTAACCATTACAAAGACGAAAGGCTTGCAAGTAGGACTCCCCAATGGAGGAGTTTGCATTAGAAGCCACTAGATGAAGATTTCAGAGCTCTAGGATAACCAACAGTGGCTCCTCAACAAAGCAGGAGCTTGCTGTGCATGTTGCAAATACAAACACTGGCAGTTCTACAGAAGACTGCATATTTTTGCACCTCTCCTGGACTGTGAACAAGAGGGCAGCTGATCGATCCTGCCGCATATGTCCAGACCTCAGCTGAAAGGAAAGAAGGGACTCCTTTCCATATGCATTACACATACATGGAAATTATCCAGGAAAACCTGGGCTAAAGTAAATACAGACAGAAGAACCACAGACAATGAATACCATGAGGAGGTACCTTCGAAGTTTTTTAAATCTCTCGTCCTCAGGCTCACAAACAGCAAACTAACACTGAAGAAGTTGAATTTTCACACTAGATTAGGACAGCCAAAGCCATTCCAAGAACACACGCTTTCCCTTTGAGACCTTATGCTTTTCCTCTTCAAAAACACTCTGCATTTTTTTTAAATGCACAATTTTTCTGCAACAGTGGAAATAGGCTTCATTTCTGTTCCCATTATAAATCCATTGAGTCTAAACTGTTCTCTCCTGCAGCCAATGGCTTTATTCATAAATTATGCAAGCCTGCAGAGACCGATCCGAATGCACACAGAAGGTGTATGATGCATAAGGGTGAAAAAATTGTCTTTCAGTCATTTGTGACAATTTATTGACCCTTAGAAGAGAAGCATCAACACACGGAAGCCCTTAGAATAAGCTACCCTCGCGTGCATGCATGCTTGCTTGCTTTCAGTCTGCATGTTGAAAGAGTTCCAGCCATCCAGGAGCAGACTGATACAAAAGCAAATATACTTAGATGTCAACAGTGCTTTCATAGTTAACCTGATCAACAGAGCCCCAATACCTCCTTGTGAAGCAGACTTCACTCGCATAGAAGACTTCTGACATCTGTATTTGGGATTTATTTCATCCCATTTGCTTTGTCACCATGACAGTGTGACAGAGAATTGGTGGAAGAGCAACTACCTACAGCTGGGTGCATGAGCTGAGTTACATCTGCCAAAGGACTTGGAAGCAAATAGGTGCAGTATGTTTACTTGTTTTTTTGTTTTTCCTATTTGAGTGCATTTTGGTGATGAAATTTCATTCAAAGTGAAGCAAAACAACGCAAAGTACAAATGTACCTCTTTTAAAAAAGGAAATGGATGAAAGCTGAAGCTACTCCTCAAGTCCCTGAAAACGCATTTGTTCAATTTGAATTTAACAGAAGCCAGCTCAGCCTAACAGCGCTCAGACTGAACTGGCATCTCCCAGGATCTGCAGAGCAGTGCCACCGCACAGCCTCCCTCACCACGTGACTGAACATCTGCAAACCAGCACTGACATCACGCTCAACAAGGCCACTTCTCACACTTGACAAGCAGAGCTCTAACGGAAATTCTCCACAAAGCAGCAGGTAAGCAAATTGGTGACTCCTCCAAACTCATTTTACTGATGGTGCCAGCGAGTGGCTACCAGGCCTTAGTCAATCTGACCTGTGATTAAAAAAGGAATTCAATTAGTTCAAAAAACTTCCAAAATCAAAGGTAAACACGGACTGTGCATTAAGCAGAAGTGAGATAAGTGTAAAACTCGCTCTCTACTCTACAAGACGAGAGTATACTTTAAAGGGTCAAGGGAAAGAGATGTTTCAAGTATTGAACGGAGGTAGACACGTCAAAAAATAACTGATTTCAGATTAAAAAGCCACATTCATGCATGCAACCTTCTGCAAAAAAAAGTGTAAAGCACTGAAAATCTGATAGTTTCAGTAATTTGAGTCACATGCATACCATAAACGAGTTGCTTTAAGTTCTTACTGCATTTTATGGTCTGTTTTAATCCACTGGTTTCAGTCTGACAGCACTGCATCTTTCTGAGCACAGCATCTTTCTGAGCACAGCTCAGAGAGGAAGCACTCTTAAATAACATGAGACTATGTGAAATGACCTCTGCTAGGCCTAGATATCTCACTAATCTGACACTGTGCTATTGGTGGAAGGAGCTGAAAAGAGAGGAAAACCACCACTAATATTCAAAACTGTCTCATCTAAAAGAAAAAGAAAATAGGGCTTTTTCTTCCTAGCACTTCCAAACACGTTCCCTCATCATCAATTCTTTTTAAACCTACTTTAATCAATACTTATTTTTTTATTTTGCAAAAAGCAAGTAAGTTACGTAGCTGGCACTGAAAAACTGTGATTAATGGAGTGGGCTGCTATTTCTGGTTTCCAGCATCCACCACGATAGGTATCGATGACCTCATCTGACATACTATTTAATGAGGCAGTTCACTTGTCAAATAGCTCACAGACCTTTCATTTGCAGCATTATAGTGAAGTGCCGTGCTTCATAAGAGCACTTACGTGATCCTGAATGGGTGACTCAAAGTCTAACATATAATCATCAATCTGAGCACACAGGCTGCCCAAAGCTCCAGCGTTCAGCTGGCACCACTCGCCAACATGTCACTGAGGAGAAAGTGAAAGCAATGCTGGAGACAGTGTGAAGATGGATCAGACTGAGCTTGCCCACAGCACCTGCCAAAGGGACATTAATCCAACTGACAGCCATGAAGAGGACGGATCTCAGACGTGCTGGTGACAGAGCAGCTGACTCAGACAAGCACTGCATCTGAACTCTGCTGTAAACACACCAAACCTTGACTAGGTTCATAACTTACCCTCATCTTACCCAGGGCAACAGGGAACTCCACATCCTTTCTGAGGGCTCTGTATACAAGCTCTGCACAGCAACCCAAGAATTGTATTGAGGTATAACTAAAGCAATTCCTAATACTAGCACTGCAGCATAAAATCATACAGCAAAGGACAAGGTTTAAAAGTTGCTTAAGTATCTTTAGGGCTATGTTCGCAAATTGCTGAAGAAATTCCACACACAGACATGAGCTGTGAGACCTGTGACCTCAGAGTGAGCATGAGCTTGAAAACATCACACTGGGCACGAGGAAAGCTGCTAAGGACAAGCTACAGCACTGCACTCGTGCAAGATGCCAGTTCTGAGATTCTCCTCCTGAAAACTGTTCATCCCACCACGACCAGCTCACTCACTTAGAACTCATTTTAATGCATTTTGACAGATGAGCAGTACAGCACGTTCTCTAAGTGTTTCAGGGTCAGAAGGTTCTAGGCTAGGAAAGAGTACTCAAGAAATTTGAGTTCTGAAGTTTCCAATTCTCTCATAACATGGTGAGAACATCTGCTACGAAAGACTGCAATCAGATTCTGATCAGGTGGATATTTAAGTGTGTCATTCTTGAGTACAGGCTTTTTTAATAGACCCTAACCATCTTTTTTGCTTTCTCTGCATATTAAGGTCTACCTTCACATTTTCTCCCCACTACTTTTAGCTTATACTAGAATTGCTTTTATTTCCAGATTTCCATTATGAAAATTAACAGCTACTGAATTTTGAAACATGAGTTTCCAATAAATAAATAAATAAATAAATAAAATAAAAATCAGACCCAGCAGGCCACCTTCAGTCAAGTTTCACTTTATTCTTTCCAGCATCACTTTAACATCTGTCAGAAGCCCCACATGTACATGAAATCAAAAGAAATGATTACTTTGTGTCCATATACAACAACTCCAGGCATCCAATTCAGGTAAAATACCTTTGTCTGATTTTTCCTTCTGTTGATAGTGCATTCAAATACCGAATCCAATTAATACAAAATTAAATTCAAGGGCATGTACATAAACTAAAATAATTGGCATCTGGCCGGGTTCTGAAACCCACAATTATTATTATTTTAAATGGAAATGACCCCTACAAAAACTTCCACAGACATCCATACTTATAATACATCAAGTCTGCAAGTTATACTTATTCTCATAATGGCCTAAAAGCAAGGCAGGGGGGCCAGAAGACAATCTTGCTGCCCTTAAACAAGAGCCATGCTCTCTGAAGAGATGCTCTGCCTTCAGGCAACACCACACTTAACAACCTATTGAGGCAGATACTTTTTCTCCACTGGATTCTGATTCGTATGAGAACAAAGTACAAACACCCCATGTAAAACTAGTATTAAGAACATGAGTAACGCTTTATGGGATGCACACTTATACGTGCATAAATCAGTAATTTTTTTCCTTCAGCATTTTGCTTTCTGCTTCTCTCCTCACCCGCTACAAGGAGATTCTGTTAAAAACAACAGGAAAGCCTCTAAACAAGCAAACAAACCGAATCCAAACCCAAATCAGAGTTTTTTCTTTTGACGATAACTGGGCTGCACCACGTTTTGTTACCATCTAACACTGAGGTGCCAAGGCTGTGCTTTACACAGACCCAGCTGTTACAACACAGTATCAGACAGCTGTCCACTCAGGCTGCCAGTTCTGTGAAGCCAGCAGTGCATCAGCAACTGCACACAAAACTCAAGAGATTTTCCTGGAACAAAGTCCTTAACATGAGGAAAACATTTTCCAAAAGCATCTCCCCATTTGACCCTGTACTAATACAAAAGTTCAGGATTTTTGTAAGATGTGTATCTACCTACACACGTGATACAATGGCATCTCTCAGCAGCTCCCTGGTGTTATGCTGGTAAGTCTATCAATATCCTGAAAATAGTTTCTGTATCTGTAGACAATCAGAAAGCTTTAAACCCAGTCACTTAAAATGCTGCGGTTAAAGTTACAGTTACTGGTGTACAAATTACATTGCTTGAATTTTAATATGTGAAAAAAAAACAAAAACAAAAAAAAAAACACTAATAGAAGAAAAACTTGAGTGTCCCAGAACCACAAGGCAAACAGATAAGTTTACTACTTAAGAAATAAAAACACTTCAGAATTCTTTTTATTGATAAGAATTGACATCCCAAAGTCTTTAATGACATCCAAACACATCAGGATGGCACGTCAGCACCACACACTGTAGTATCACACCAAGCAATATAGAACCATTATCATCACTGATAATTGAGCACCACATTGGAATTAGAAGAATTTATGTCATTTTCAAGAATATTTCTTCTCATATTCCCCATGAGCCCTCTGCCATTAGACTGCACCACCTGCCTGGCATAGTAACTACATAATAATGCAAAAAAGGGATATGAATGAAACATAGCACAGTGTTCATTGCACTTGAAGGGCAGTGTCTTCGCTGGAAAAAAAAAAAAAATAAAAGCAATAGGCAAGCAGTTACACTAACAGGAAATTCCAAAGTGTAATTTACATACAGAGAACACTCACGCAAAATGGCTTTTAAGGGTCTGTAAAGATGGTAGGTCAGATAACTCGTGACCGAGGACGCTGCTAAAGTGGTTTCTGCAACAGCCACAGAGACAGCTTTTCAATACGGTGAAGAAAATGAAGTCATCGAACCGACTTTATTTCTTCAGACAAGTTCGACATCTGCTCTATACCTCTCTCTCACAGCTTTCTCCATCGGATTTCAAATAAATCCGGCAAGTTCGCCGTGCCAAGTTAACCTCCCTTCTTTGCTAATTTTAACCAGAACTCCAGGCTCCCGCAGCTCGGAACGGCAGCCCGGCCCGCCGCCCCGCCAGCGCAGCGTCGACAAAAGCGCGGCTCCCCACGGCCCCGCCGCGCCCGGCCCCCGCCCGGCCCCACGCACCTTCTTTGGTCTGGGCGTTGGTGATCTGCAGATCGCAGTCCGCCGCCTTCAGCTTCTCCCGGGCCATGATCTGGCGCTTGAGGTCGCACAGGGAGATGTGGAGGCCGTCGAAGGTGACGGTGTCATAGTTCAGCTTGGAGGAGAACTTGTAATGGACGCACGACATGGCGGGGCCGGGCTGGGCCGCACCGAACGCCGGGCGGCGGCGGCGCTGAGCTGCGGCGGGCGGCGCTCAGAGGCCGCGGCGCTGCGCCATGGCCAGGCCGCGCGGCCTGAGCACGCTGCGCTCGGGAGGCCTCAGGGCTCCATGGAGGCCCCGCTCCCCGCGTCGGCTCCGGCTCTCGGCGAACCGAGCTGGGCCTCGGCGGCGCGGCCGGCCCCCCCGGCTCTTCCTCGCGGCGCAGTCAGGCAGCGCGGAGCGTCCCCGCAGCTCGGCTCCGCTCGGCCTCCGCTTCCCGTCCCCTCGCGACGTTCCCAGGCCCGGCCTCCGGCTATGGCGGATCCGGCGCCCCCGCCTCGGCGTTTCTCCGAGGGGTTTCCCGGCCGCCGACCGCACGGGGCACCGCACTGCGGCTGCGCAACGGCACGTCGCGCCCACCGCTCACGTGACGCGGCGCATTATGACAAAGGAGCGCCGGTCCGCGTCACGTGACGTGAGGGTGGCCCCGCCCCTTTTGCCGGCGGGCGGGGCGCCCCCTTGCGGAACGTCGCCGGCGATCCGTTACCAGCGCGCCGCGTCACGGACCGCGTGGCTGCTGCCGCGCCTCCATCGTGCTGTGCGCTGCTGTGCCGGTGGTGACAGCGCTTAAGGAAACGCTGGCAGCTTTGCGCGGATAGCGTCCGCGTCTCGAAATGTCCCGTGGAAACAAAAATGGCTGAGCGACACTGTAACCGAGCGGCACGCCGGGGTCAGATGCGTCCGGCGGAGCAACGGAAGAAACGAATGAAAGCACGTTTCCAACGGACTCTTTTTAAAGGGAGGGATTGGCAGAGGTTTGCTGGGCTGCACTAGGAACCGTGATTAATTAGAACGAAGAACAGCACTTGAGCAGGAATAATGTTATTAGGAAGTCTAATTGTTGATAGTTCTGTATGCCAAACAATACATGCATGTCAAACCCATTTATCAGTAAGTAGTTTTAAACCTTCTAAGTGCAACCTTTCACTTTAAAAACTTGTTTTCTAATCTTCTGGCCACAGGTCCTTAGAGACAAAACCTTCAGAATGTCAGGCATCGGTGCTATCTCAAACCAATCTAAAACAAAGTTCATTTTTCAAGTAAAAATAGTGAAAGCCAGCAGGCTTTGAAAACAAACAAACAAACAAACAAAAACATTTCTCATTGCAAACGTTGGGCTAGGAAACTTCTGATAGCTGAATCCTGCAGATTGCCTTCGTGCTCTCCAGGGGAAAAGAGCTGTGTGTAAAAGGGGACAGCAAACTACATAGGCTATATGTAAAACTATCTCCGCTTTTAGTTTTATTTTTTAAAAATTCTATTAAAGACTGCCAGCATATCCAGATCACTGTTTTTAAATTACCTTCCACGTAAGTACCAGACCTTTGATCACCTGCCGGATAAATTGGTTGTGAACCAGTGTAAGCACAACCATACTCATTTTAAATCACCCATGGTACTGTTTTTATGCTGCCCTTTGGCTTTTTGCTGGCTGCGGGAAGGCAGGTGATACCTGATCTAGATGAGGTATGCTGGGACAAATTCATCGCTTCCATAAACTCAAAAGCAAATTTGAATCAGCTGAGCGTGTACCAGGTCAGTGCATTGCATCATGTTTCCCTGGCCCCTTGATCTGATATTTGGTGTCCCAAAAGGAATGCAGCATCTCCAGCCAGGAGATTCGTATCACAAACAGATGAGGGCACTGCACCTCCCAGCTGCTCCGCAGTGCTGCCCTTCCTGGGCTGCTGCCCCTGCAGAGTCCAGCAGTCTGCATGGCCGCTCCCTCAGCACATCTGACAGAACACGTTGAGCTGGTGATGATCTGCAGCTCAGAGTGCTCTGTTAGCACTGCCCATTTGGAGTGAAGCAGGATGAGAGCTGCTCCCATGGGGAACTGAGCTGCGAGGTTGGAGGAGAACGCTGAGGACAGTCATAGCCACACTGCTGCACACAGGAGATCTGCAGCCAGATCTGTCTGCGTGTGCCGGTGCTGCTGTGCTGTTACTGAGACAAACTCACCTTGCACAGAAGATCTGACAAGCCTGTTAAATGATGCTTACCAAACCCAACAGAAATGTTCGTGTCGTAACAAACAATTAGCTTGTTGTGGCAGCACATGAGCAAGCATCCTCAGCTACTCATTTATAACTTCAGAAAGCCTAGGAGGATGAGAAAATACCGTGTGGCTTTCAGAGGGAGCTGGTGTAGGTTCTGAAAGAGTGTGTGTCTGAAAGTCTGTATGCAAATAGAAGAGCAGCCTTAGTTCTGGGTGTTCTCTGCACACCTGTTGGCATCAGGGCTATTTCTGCAGCTTTCAGTTATTTGTATTTTTATAACTCTTTTTTTGACTGTAGCTGTGACTTCTGTGCAAGAGAAGAGGAACTTGCCTCATCTGTGAGCCCACAGGGCCAGTCCTGCTGGAGTAAGCACATAGCTCTGCAATGTCACTGTTTCACAGCTCAGTGTCATCCGTGCTGCTTTCGAGGTAACACAGCTGCTGTAAGCAGGCGCTGGTTAGAGCTAAGCTTTAATTACAAATGGCATTCTCATTAGTGCACTAAAAGATAGCAACAGAGGGACAACAAGAACCAAAACCATCCAACGCATGAACTCCCTGCTGCACACCCTACTGGCTCTGTCCTAGGACAGCAGTGTCAGCTGAGGAATAAATCCAGGCTTTTTCTTATCTTTGCCACTGTAAATAGAAGGAGCTTTGTCAGAAGCAGAGCAGAGATAATCAGAACACATCCTCCTGTTTTAACAAATATTCTGTTTCATTGTTCTGAGTTCAAGCTGAAAAACGGTGATTTGGGCGCTGTGTGATGAATGAACCAGACGTGTGCTGGACTGATAGCCCAGCTGGGAGCTGTGAATCCTCCAGTTCCTCCATGACAATACAGGATGACTATGGGATGAAGTAGCAGAACTCTCCTGTTTTGTGCCTTTCCCAGTGGTTCCGTAGCTGAATCACTGACCCTTCTGCTGGGACAAATAAGGAGGAGCATTGTGGTGACATTTGTACCTGTGCCTGGAAACTTGAGAAAAACAGCATCCCAGGGCTATTACCTACCTGTCTTGATACAGAGCAGTCCCCCAGAGGTAGAAGTTGGTAAAGCTCCCAGGAGTCCATTCCATCTGCCTGCTCCCCTGTGAGCTGTCAGGTTACTTTTCCGTGAAAAAAATCCATCAGAGATCTAGGACAATTCACTAAAGATAAGGACCCAGCTGATCCTTGCACCCCATCGTCACTGTGTTGCCCCACAGCCCTCACTGCTGCCAGATGGGGTCTGAAGTCAGGAGGAATGGGCCCCAGGCGGACACAGGAGGGGTTGTTTATAACCCTAAGTGCTAATAAATATTACAGAGAGCTGTGAGCAAATGTCCTGCAGCATGAAGTGAAAGGAAGGAAAAGTAATTGACAGTCAAAGGAGACAGATCTACAGACACCGAGGGGCAGTTTGACTTCACAGGACCTCCTATAGGTTTTCAGCAATGCCGCATTTATTTCTCAGGATTTAACACCCCCCAAAGATGTTAACTGCTGTCACACTGATCTAAGTCGCCAAAAGCATTCAGAGGTCTTGGAACCACTTGTCCCTGCAGTTCCTTTGCAAAGCAGCACGTGACCAGCAGTGCTGCCACCCGGCATCCCTGGCAACAAGGAAGAAAACTATGTGTGGTTTTTGTCCTGCTTTAGAGGCTCCCAGGACCTGGCCATCAGCTGCTCCATCAGTTTCTGCCAGTGCTGCAGCCCTGCTTGAGAACCCCTGCAACACAAACTTGTTTTCTAGTGAGTAAATGAGTCCAGGAAACATTCAGCAAAGCAACATTATGAGTCAGGCCTCTCCTTGACAAACGTACTTTTCGGGATTGTTGGGTGTTTGCAATTTTCATCTGTAAATTGCTTCTCAAATATTAATTAAGCCCTGAAGAGTGCTGGCAACAGAAAGGACTGTAGCTGCTGTGTGGGATCATGCAGATAGACAGTCCCAGAGAGCTCCCAGGCTCTGAACACAACGTCAATCCCAAGTCCCACATAGTTGGACAGCTTTTCTTCCTGCTTTTGCTCCTTAAGCTTCAGCTTCTTACCAGAGCTCATGATTATGGCTCATTCTTGCCTATCAGCACTGCCTCAGCTTGAGCAAATTCAGGGAGAAAACCATCAGGTACTGCGCACTGCTGCCCTGCTTGCCCTGCTGGCCCCAGGGAGGGATGGAGGGAGGAAGAATCCTATAAATATGCCATAGCACACTCTAAGTCTGCCTGACAGAGGAAACTTGACCTCATCTCTGGGTGTGCATGCCCTAGGAAATGGGGGAATTCTTTCAAAATGAGTCTGCAGGCGCTGGCACAGCTCATCTGCTTGTTTTCCAAAATCGTTTTCCGATCTCCTCTCCCGGTTTGCATTTGGTGATGTTTTACAGCTCCCTTAGGCTTGAAGGACTGAGAGTTGGGGAATACAGCAAAAGTTACGCCAAAACTCAGGAAGCAAATCCACAGCACTGCTCCTACATAGTGAGGAGCTACCGTCTGAGCTCAGCGGAGCTCAGCCTGCAGTTTCCAGCAGAGCCGGCAGATGCCGGGCCCGCTCCCCTCACCTCGCTCCGTGCGATTCGCGCTCAGCGCTGCGAGTCCGGTGCAGACGGAGCGGGACGTCTCCTGCTGTCCCGGCAGCGCAGCCTCACACGGCCCGCAGCTCCTCACCGAGCCGTAGCAAAGGCATCAAAGCCGTAGGTGTGAGCAGCTGCTGCGGCCATGACTACTTGTACAAGTGTGGGAGAGGCACCTGTGGCTGTTCCTGCTATGAAGGGCAGGAAACACCTAACTCACAAGGTCACCTTCATCAGTGACAGTTTTGCAAAACGTAGCCCTGAACAAACAGCCTTCCCCAGCTCATGAAATTCCCCAGACATGAAATTCCCCACAGCACAGAGCAGCCCTCTGTTTCTGAGTGCCAGAGCCCTTTGCGCAGACAGAATTGCTGTAAGGCAGGTCTGGAGCCTGCAGCTCCTGCACCATTCCTGGTGCTCTCCCACTGTGTGGCTCCCGAGGGCAGCACCCAGGTGCCCGTCCTGCTCAGTGCTCCCTTTCTGCGTGCAGCCCCAGCTGCTCCGCACCCTCTGCCCCGCACAGCCTCTTTGCCACATCCCCATGCACACATCAAAGCAGCCCCAGCTTCCTCCTAATGCTCAGTTTCATAATGCATTTTAAATCAAAGTTAATTATGGGGATCAAAGGCCCTTTCTCTGCATCCTCCAGAGCCCTCCTCTCGCAGCCCCTACCGGGCCTTGCTGCTGTGCATGGCACTATCACAGTGAACAGACGAAGAGTTCCGGTGCCGAAACAGAGAGCATCTCCTCTGCAAGGTCCCTATGCAGTGCACTAATCACTCCAGAAATCATGCTGGGTTGTGGAATTGGCTGATGGGGGGGCTGTAGCAGCTGACTTTATTCCTCGGATGCTGCCTTTCTTTGAGTCATTTCAGTTCTGAGTCACCAGCAGTCACAAATCTTTGGGAGGTAGCAGCCAGCCCCTTCTGCACAGGAAAAAATGCAGTTCAAGATGAGTTCCTGCTGTCCTGGGCATGCTGCAGAGCCATTACTGCATGCCACACAGGTGGCCACGTGGTGCTAGGTGCCTGCCATGGCCCCAAAACCTTCTATAGAGCCACTGCTTTCCAGACCACACTCCCACTTGCACTGGTGCATGTGGTGCTACCCCTGCAAAACTCTCTTTACATCCCTCTTTTTCTCTTGTACCTGCAGTTACACACAAAACATCCTGCTGTTTCCAGAAGTATTTCCTTCCCCTCTCATCTGAGACACAGATGGAAGAGAAGAGGCCCTGTCCTCTTGCAATAAGGCACAGCTGAACACAGGATGCTGCTGGACCCAGTGAAGCGCAGCTGCAGAGCTCTGCAGATACAGCAGACTGGAATGGGCTAGGAGGTGCTGCTCTATATGGAGGTGCTGTACTTCATGGAGGTGCTGCCCTGCACAGAGCTCAGCTGGGCTGCATCAGCCTCATCCTCTCCTTAGGATGCCTTCTTCCCCACGCACCATTTTCTGGTCCAGGGGGGAAGCACCACATTTGTATGCAAAGTCCAAGAGCTCCTCAGCAATTAAATTGAATTCTAATTATTGTATATCACATATTAGCAATTTCTACCATGCTAATATTAATTGCTAACAAGATGATAAGATATATCAGGTAGTCATGACGGAGCACCGCCTTTGTTTGCCTGGCAGAGATGTGTGGCAGTGAAGCACTGGGAATCTGGTGCAGAATTTGCTGCAGACATAAATGTTTGATGGCAGAAGGTGAAGGCTTCCCCTGCCCTGGAGTGCTTGCATGGCTCCCATTGCATGCATGGAAAAGCCCAGCTTATGAGGCTGGCTCTGAACTCAGCCAGCAGTGCAGTGGTGACTTAATGTCCAGTCTCACAGTGAGGTGATGGTGTCCCAGGGGTTATTTGTCTGTCTTCTGAAAAAAAAGTCCTGTGTGAGTCAGGCAGTCTGCACTACGATCAGTGATATGTTACATTTGGACATATGCTAAATGACATTTACCAATAAATTTATGCAGATTTCTTCTGTAATCCTTCTCCATCAAAAGTAGTAATACTTTCTCTAATGCAAATGCACTGCTAGAGCCTCACCACATCAAACAGGAGCTATGTGGAATTGGTAAGGAATCTGAATGATAATCTTCATTGTGCTCATGAATAATCATTGGCTACAGATGATTATTTAACAATGCTTGGAAGAGCCCAGCAGCGCTTGCCTGGCTTCCTTCAAGGTGCGGCCATTCCAGCTGCCCAGGTCCATCAGCTCTACTGAACCTTGCAATCAGATTTCACGCTCATTGCCCATCTGGGTTCATGCATTGGCTGTGTGGCATAGGGCTCCGCAAGAGACCTGTGGGGGAGCAGCACCTCCTGTCTTTGCTGTGGGGCACATATATCTCCAGCCCTAAAGCTATCGGGGTCTGTGGGTGGGCAGAGCACAGGCCACGGTGAAGCCCAGGTGCTGGAAGCATGAGGCCCTTTGCCATGTTGGCCTCCATGCATTTTGTTGGCGAGGCTCATGGTTTTAATCATTTTTAAAGATGATTACATTCTGAGCAGCAATGATTTAAGCTAACGAGCAGCCTGCCACATTGTGGCTCGGCAGGAAAAGTCGCATTGCTGGAGTCATTTTTTCCCCCCCCTGCAATCCAAAACACAGACATTACTGAAATAAATGATTTCTTTTCACGGTTGTTTAATATAATTTTCACTGCGCTGCGCTCTACGAGATGCTGCAGCTCATTAAAATAATGATCAGATCCATGAGCAGGACACAGGCAATGAGCAGCAGCTGCAGCACGTCCTGCATTTGTCGTGTCCCTTTTACAGGAAGACTTTGGCTCTCTCTGTGTGCTCAGTGTTCTGTCATCACAGCACCACTGGCCCTGACCTGGCGCTGGGCACTGGCTCCATCTCACCAGTGCAATTGAGACAGAGAGGGACAAGCAGGGAGCCAGGCAGCGGCTGCTGCGAGGAGACAACAACGTGCAGGATGAATGGGACAAACAGATGAAGAAGAGCAAATGGTCACTGTGTTGAGGCCTGCTGCCAATTAGTGGGTGACAGCGCTAGGAGAGTGAAAGAGCAGAGTGAGCTGTAGTTCTGGTGGCGGAAGGAAGCAGGATTCTCGCGTTCTTTTGGTCTGTTTCTTGTCTTGTTTCCCTGGGAAACTGCTCTCTGTGGGAGAGTTCAGGGACCCACAGGCAGCAATGTGCTGGACGGATGTTTGCCAGTGCTCTGTGAGGGAGCTTTAACAGAGTAATTAGAAGAAGAACATCAGAGATGTGCAGGCTGCAAAATGGCAGCTAGAGGAAGACTGTGTCAGGCTATAACTGCTGATTGCTGGCCATAAAGACACAGCTTGTTATCATCCACAAAAGCTTTGGAGCTGTTGCCTGTTGCCAGCAGAGCTGAAGCAGCACCTGTGGGGTAGCTGTACCTGCACCCCGCTCCAGGCTCGGCCCTACTGAGTCTTCCTGGGGCTGCTCTGTGCCCTGCCACCGCCCTGCTGCCACCCAAATACTTCTGGTGCTGTGGGACGGCCCCATGAGCAGGGGCAGGGGGGCACAAGGCTGTGAATCATGGAATCACTGAGGTTGGAAAAGCCCTCTCAAATCACCAAGCCTA